TTTTTGGCTGCCACGACTGCGACAAAAAACACTGTGGCATGTAGAAATAATTTCTTTTGAAAAAGACAGGATAGTGACAAATCCATCTTGTGGTTTTCATTTTCATGATTCTTCTTGGGTAATTTACAAATGGAATTTTATAAATATGCTAGCACCATTAAACTGATCTATCAGAAACAGTCATAAAATTTACATTAAAGGAAGCACAACTCTAAAACATAATTTAGAAGAAAACCAATGGCAAACCAACAGCAATGCAGATAATTATAAAAACTACCAACAGAAACATTTTCATCAGGCACGGGAAACAAAGAGAATGGGGACAGCCTATAAAGTAGTGAAATAAATTTCAAATATACACAGCAGAAAAAAACACTGTCTTTGAATAAAGAGATACATATAACTGCTTCTGCCAAACTCAGTTTGAGACTCTAGCCCAGTAGCAGACCTTTCCAAAGATTGTGTGCTTGTCGTTAAGTTCATCTGCATGACCCAACGTAAAGAAAAACTGACTGCCATTATCATGCGGTCCAGCATTTGCCATAACAAGTCCTCTGCGATTAAATCACAATCGTGAGTGGAACTCATCCTGCCAAAGAAAGACAAAAGAACATGATTTAGATGTGTAGCTTCCTTTTTTTCCATTTCTTTAGTCAATTTGATCTACATCAATACACACACACACACACACAAATAAGCTGTTTTTTTCTGACAGTAATAAAAACAGTCATTTATAACTTAATGCCAGGATGATATTTAATAGCTCCTGTCCCCAGCATATTTTATTAAGACACACACTAAATTAAAAAGCACTAAACATACTATATAAATAATATAAACAAATATATGATTTAAGAAAAACTGTACTTTGTCTTTTTTAAAAGATTGTTTTTCCAAATATTGTCTAATTAGTGTTATTCATTACTTTTGTTAGAATTCTCTTTCCCCTGCCCACCCCCTCCAATAAAAAAAAAAAAAAAAAAAGACACCTCTTGACTGCACCGTATACACTTCTTGTAAATCTATCATTCTGGTTAACTATGACATTTAGGGACAAATTTTAATTCAGGTAAAATAACTGGAAGCTCAGTAACGGCCTGCAATAGTTCAATATTGAACAAGTATCACAGTCCCAAAAAGTCCTAGAGACAGAACAAGACTGCTTTTAAGGGAACAAAAAACTGATGAGCAATAAATTAATAGCATGGTAGTATCACAACTCTGAAAACTGCTACTCTGAATGTCATTACTAATTTTAAACAGTAGTGCTACTACAGTATTGGAAATACTTGTTTTGCACTCTGCTTAGGTATCAATCCCCTCCACAAACATCAAGACGTATTACAAGCATGACTGTGAGACTACTCCACTAGTAGGTGAGATGGGAGGCCCCGAGACAGATTATGTGGCTTCATTCACCAGCTAAAGCTCTTCCCCACCAAACAAAACAAGCAGAACAGAATATACAGTGTGTGTGCCTTTACTTGTGATCTGGGGCTCCTGGCAAAGCTATAAGATGTGTTAGTATCAATAATTCAAAAGAATGTGTACACAACATTCAGGGTCCTTTAATAAATGAGATATAAATATATGTAAATAATGTACATTTCTGAGCTTGATACGTATAAACATTTACTCTTAATTCTTCCCTCTGTTTTCCTTGTGATTTTTATTAATATATAACCTTATTAACATGAACAATAACGTGAACTGCACAACAACTAGATTTAAGAACTCTGAATATAAAATACATATGCAAGAACACTGAGGCAACGTCACAGGCATTTGTGTACATAACTAATGTTATATTTCTTATATGAGTTTTGCTTTTTTGCAATCTAACTTACTGGAAGATCAACTAATGGGGAATAACCAAAAATTAACACACAAATTAAGGTAACTACCTTGAAAGGAGCTCCATAGATTGAATCTCCACCTGATCCAGTACCAGTGGGATCACTTCCTTGCACTATAAAACCAGGCACAACTCCGTGGAATATTGTGTTATTGTAATACTCTAAAAGAGGAAAAAAAAAAAAGAGAGAGAGAGAGATTAAATACATTTAGATTGTCTCACATTTATACTTCCATATAGATTAGGCAGAGATATCCAGTGACTGGAGATTCATAAAACAAGTCCTGTAAGGGGGTTCTGCTCCTTCCACAACTCCTTCCATTGTGTTCCCTCCTCTTCTTCCCTTCCACCATTACCTGGTGTGACTGTATATCATCTGTAAGCTGCAACTGATGACATTTCTGACAAAACCTGTGGCACGTCATACAGTTCTGCTGCAAAAGGTGCTGTACATCATTGATAAGAGGATATAGATGAGTTTCTTTCCAGCTCTCTGGTATTATCACTAGAAAAATAGCCCTCATATTCACCAATTTAAAAGTAGGACTAAACCTCCTACACTTTGTCCCAGCTAAAATCTCACATGTATAATGATCCATACCCACACGCCAAGCTGCTGGCCTGTTCAAAGCCCAGCATGGGACACAGGTGCCATCACTTTCACCTGATCGTGCCCAACCTGGTCATTTTCACAGAAGAGAAGATACCACGCAGCTGTGTGTACCGCACAAGGTACCTCCTCTTGGGTCTGCACACACCAGTAAGATCTTAAGGGGAAACAGAAAGACCCAAAATTTAATCCTACTTGACAAATACTTCCTTTAAAAAAAAAAAATCTTGAGGAATGTTCTCTTTCTGGATACTATTCAGGTTTTTCTACATATAAACACCACCACTTAACAGGCTGAAAGCATAACCACAACCTCTATTTTACAAAAAGAGGCACAAAGATACCAGCATTGTACACAAAACAATTCCAGCAACTCCTGTCCCCTTCAGCAGTTACCTTCCATGCAAAGCTGAATGAATTTTTGACATGCTTTCAGGGCTTCCTTTGACCACAGCACTATATCAATATCGCCCGCTGTTGTTCGCAGCAAAACCTACACAAACGCAGACAAACAGATCGTTAGTTTTCTTGCAACTTTCTTGCATATACCCCACTGCGCTGGTAGCAACCGATACGCCGCATGGCACAGCCAGTGGGCAAGGGACGGATTGCAGCTCATGGCTTCCAGGCCAAGGAACCGGCACCAGGCACATGACAGACGCGCTCGATGTTTGCACAGTGAAACAACACAGAAGGAGACTAATTACACCCAAAACGGCCAAGGATGGGTGTGAGCGGCGCGCCACGGGCCTCACCTTACCGTTGGTAGGGGGCTCCTGGATGTAGATGTTGCTCATGGTGGGGCAAGAGTCGCACCTCACCCTGCCCTGGCCACCTGCCCTCTTGGGCACTCCTACCCCGCCGGCTCGGCGGGGGGGCGGTCACCACAGCTGGCACAAGCAGAGCGGGTTGAGTGTGCAGGCAGGGGTGCCGTGCGGCCAGTGGCGTCTGCTCCGCCTCGGCAGTGCCTGTGGCCTCTCGGACATCTCTTGCCCCGCTCCCTCACTGCCACCCGGTGCCCAGCGATCCCAAGGCCTCCCTCGCAAGTGGCGCACCCCTGCAGTGCGCGCACTCGGGGCCTTCCAGCGCAGCAGCCTCACGTTCCATGGCACTGCTGGGTGAGGCTGCAGCAGGAACCTGTGCGCGGTGTCTTCCCCTAACAGCATGGGTGCTGTGGGCAGGGACACGGGCTCGGGCTTAGAAAGCTGGTGTCCTAGAGTGGCTTTAGCCCTGTGGCCAGCAGAGACAGGAGCCTTTGGGGCTGTCGGGTTTGGGGGGGGGTGAAGTCGTGGCTTCCATTACAAATAGACTTGGCTGATTAAAATGGGCCCGTTTCTCTGGTTTCTGTGAGTTTCTGTCTTCTCCTGAGTCTCGTTTTGCTCTGGCTGGCTGTTAACAGTTAGCTGTGAGCTTATGGAAGTGTGCGAAGGGTCTGCTTTGCCCCAAACTTGCACTGGTCTGGCTCTCCAAGACTAGATATCCCTTGTCCTTTCCTTTATTCACTTAATTCTTCATCTCCCTTCCTGCAACCATTAATTCTATATATGTTGGTGGTTTGCCTGAGTTCAAGATGGATTTGTTTAGCCTGATTATTTTTTAATTAGTTTTTCCATCATTTTTTTTTCTCCAGGAATGATTATTTCTCTCTCTTTTCATTGCCCTCTTGGACAGTTCTTGCAATTGAAATATTCGTCAGCTCAGAGCTGCCAGATGTTGTCCCTCAGCATGCGCACCCTGCAAGAACTTAAATCACGTTTGTGGTGTGCAGCTGTGGACCACAGGAACAGCCTGGTGACTGTTAACGTGTCCATTCTGTAACAAAACTAACGCATAAGTTTTCAGAGAAGTGAAATTATTATTAAAGTTTAAGATTGGGAAAAAAATCAATTGAGGATTTGTCAATAAGTTATATGAAGCTGAATGATCCATACCAGTTTATACTGCCCAAACTTACGTCAGTCTTCCTGGTGACAGTGTGAAGTCTTGGTGATCCCAGTGTCCTGAAAGGAATGGTCCTTCCCATTTGAGAATTGACATTGTCAAGTCAGCTTAAAAAAAAAAAAAACTTTAAGGGTTCTCAACACCTATTTGATGGCATTTTCTCTTTCAGGTGGAAATAAGGATAACATCAGAGCAGGATGCAAGAAATGTGGCTACTGTAACGCTATAATAAGCAATATGAAGATGCATCTAATACAGAACTTTCTGATACAAGAACTATTGCTTTCAAAAACCCTCAAGTTCTTCTGTGAAAACAATATGCTACTGTATTCATATACACTTCATTTGCATGCAATTAAAGACCATGCTTTAAATTCAGAGTTTCTTGATACCTAATTTAGTATCTTCTGCTGCTTTGGAGTCTCTGCCAAATTTAAACCATTAAACTTAGACCATTAAAAAAGTAGAACACAAAATTTGGACAAAGTCTTTAAATTTACATAAATATGAAGGGAGGCCATAAAACACCATTAAATGGGATACCTTTGCACAGCCTATAATAATTCTTCAATACTTTTTCAAAGTAAACCTTCGCACTCCCTCATTCCTACATCACAGTCTCACCTTTCCACCAACCAGACTGAGTAAGTGTAAAATGTGTGTTCCCTTGCTATTGGTGTCACTTGGTAATTTGTAACTTTTCTTCCTAATACTTGTTTGTTCAACTGGTCGTAAATTTCTCTGAGTGGATCCCCAAAGAGATATCGTTTTAGATGTTAGCAGCACGAGCAGTGAAGACAGTGAAGAAGAGCTACAAAGATTGCAAGCTCTACATGAAAAAAAGAGTATGTCCGTGTTTTGTTTGTGTTTTTTCTTTTTTTCTTTAAAGAGAATAACAGTCACATAATGGTCTCCTGAATAACTGAAATAATTGTTTTTTCCTTTTTGAGAATTATTATTAGTTCTTTTAATCAGTGCTTTAAAAGAAGGATTTTACTTCATATATTCAGACTTAAGAGATTTGATACATCTAAGTCTTTTTTATTATAATTAACTTCTGTAGGAAATTATTAATATACCCATTTGGAATGTCTCAAAAGGAGCTTTTAAATACAGAAGATTGTAAGACTGGTAATAAGCAGCTGCTTAGAAGAAAATAGGTAACAACATTCTTCCTATCTGAACCTGAATGCCTCTTACATTGAGTTTGTATTGGTAACTGTGTTCCTATGGGCTTTGAAACAAGCATACAATTGTAACTGCAAAAGTGATCTCTAGCCTTTATAAGCTAGGGTTTTTCTGGAGGCTGGAAAGAGGAAGAAGGGTGGCAGGTTTGTTTAGAGGACAGTTCATGGCAGAAGCTCGACTTCTAGTCACCTTCAACTGGCAAATTCACAGTTCTGGACAGAAGGCACTATTTATTATCTCTTCCATCCCACTTAAACATCTCCTTTGCTAAACACCATTGCTAAGCAGAAGAATCAGTTCTGGGATAGAAAATCCTGCAATTAATTAATTTTTAAAGCAACTCATAAAAATGAGTTGTTGAAGCAATGTTATTTCACAGACATCCATAAACTTATAAAGGTAATTGACAAGAAAGTCTGTAATGGTAGAAGATTTAGCTGTGTCTTCTTTATACACTTGCTATCTAACTGTCCCTCCATAACATAATTCAGAGTCAGGTTTGAGGTAGCTAAACATGTCTTTTCCATGAAAGTACAGATAATATTTAGTGCTTATGAAACTCAGAAGTATTTGAATATTGTTTTTACATCATTAGTTCAGTCTCTGAAAGTTTTCTTTTTCATTATAGAATTCATTCAATCTCAAAGTATGGTCTTGATAAAAGGACTATTTGTGGTGTTTTTGCAGGCATTTCTCTTTAGTCATAATTGCATCTTTACATAACAGTAGGAGTTTTCTAGCTGTCCCTTCCTTTAGTATTTCTTTAGTATTTCTCTTCTATATTTAGGTTTTATTCAAATGCACGTGAAAGGTGGGGATAGGCCAGAATAGGAGTGACATTTATAACAATTTTTGTAGACAGTATAGTGACAGTAAATTGAAGCTTATCCTATTTATGGCTTAAATAATTGCTATTTGCATGTGAAATGAGGTTGCGTGTGAGTAATTCAGGTAAGCCTGAGGGAACATGCATTTTTATTATTCAGTACATTCTAGTTACGTGACCTGTTTTCAGACTTCTGCAAATCTTAAGAATAAAGAGTAATGGATATGGAAACCTGAAGTTGATGTAAATGTGAAGGTAAAGTCCCAGATTTTGCTACATTTTACAGGAATTTCCTCGTTCTCAATTTTTAAACAAAAGTCCTTGGAACTTTTGTAAGTGGTATAACAAGTTCTGGTCTGCAAAATATTTCTGAATTAATTAACAAGAGAAGGAAAAGAAAAGCTTTTATCAAGAATTTTATGCTAATTTTATGCTGTTGCTGAAACCATTCTTTTAATGCTAATCTTAATTCAGAACTGAAATATTTTGTAAACTGTAACTTTTTCCACAGATTTAAATGAGGAAGAAAGAAAGAAACAGAAAAAAAAAGAGCAAAGAAAAAATGAAATTAAAGAGAGAAAGGAAAAGGTAACTCACATACCTAATTTAATTTGAAAACAGAGGTTTAGAAGTATTCCACATTAGAATTTCCTTTTTTCTTCCAGAGAACGTTGTTTCTTTTGATCCAGTGCATTTTGCCAAGTACCTCTTTGGTCTGAAAATCTTCCTGTTTTCCAGTGAGAATCTGCCCACTTTTTTGAATAGTGGTAACATACCACCTTTCCAGTATATAAAATACTGTTAGGACCACAAAAGTTTTGCAAATCTAGCAAGTCAGGGAAGTAGTGAAGGCCTGCAGTTCTGAAATAGCAGTGTTCCCATGCTGAGGGACCCCAGGATGTGGTGGAAAAATTAGAACAAGTCAGCCGAGCTTTTTGGTGGCAGCCCTGAGATCCCAAGCTCAGTCACATGGAGAGGCTACTCTGGAGTTAAGCAACCATGAGATGCTTCATTGCCCCCTTCGTCCCTTGTTGACTGACCTATAACTGTCAGTAGGATATTTTTTTCCGATTTACTTAAAATGTGCTGAGTTTTAACACTCCTGTTGCTTAGAAGCCAAAAAAAAAATGTGCCAAAAATGTGTTTCTCCGTTTTCAAAAGAGAATGTCATAATACACAAATTTACTGATCCTGAATTTTGTTGTGCTGACTGATTTTTAGATGAGACTATTGGCTGTCAGGACTATGGATGAGATAATCTCCTAGGAACTACATCGAGAGCCAGGAAATGTGTAATTTCTCTGGATGTCACAATAACACATTCTTCAGAAACAAAATAAGTGTAAAGAAACAGGATTTAACACGGGTGATACTGGTATTTTTCCCCTTCCTTATTTACATAGTGTAACTATAACCTATACTTATAAAGGCAGTATAGAGGAGTCAGACTGCTCGCTGCAGTCTTTACATGCAAGTAATAATTGATCTTGTAAACAATACTATAAAACTACACTGCCGAATAAAATAAGCAGGACTTTCCTTTTATTGTCATCTTAATTCTTGTTTGTATATAATCTCTTCACTCATTGCTCTTTAAGACAAATGTTATCAGCTGCAAGCTTGTCATACCTGTTTCTCTTAACTATTTTTATATGAGAAATATATTAAGATTAGTCTGAAGGCATTACTTGTAGTGTTTTTATTGTCGTGCTTTCACTCTGTTTTCTTGAGGTCTCTAGTCTGAGCAATTTAATTAAGGTTGAAAAACATGCAACTCACCTATTTCGTTGTGAATTACTCAATATTATAAACATACTGCTTTTCTGCCAAGATCATCTAATA